TAAATTCTCCAGGTTCAGAAAACAAAGGGCATATAAAAACAAAGCTTGATTTGGGTCTTTTTGAAAACTTCCTCTACTTAACCCATTGAATATTTTCTCTGCCTCTCTGAATACAAGAACTATAGGCATAAGAACTTTTTCAGTACCCTTATCTGCTAATTGTACCTGTTGCAAGCTATTCTCTAAATCCAGGAAGAGAAAAAAAGATACAATTTACTTGTTCCCCACCCACCCTCTAAACCCAGAACAATACACAGTGAACTACATCTGGGATTCTGTGTGCCATGTATGTACTGGAATTACCTTAGAAGAAAAGTGAAGATGATGAAAAAAGACTCATGAAGAAAAGTGTTAAAGGTATGTTAACGCTTAGGAAGATTTAAGTAAAAATGCTCACTAACAGAAGTAATAAATAAGGGAATATATTAAGTACTACATCTGATGTCCTAGATTACTTTTTATAACACTCTGACCACACATAAAGAGGCTGTAACTGTAGTCACAATTAATTTTCTCACGAACCTGAAGGTGTGTGTCCCGTTTCCAAATGAACTGAAATGGAAGGGGTCCCCTGGATACATAATTAACCTTATGAACGTTGACTCAGATGCTAAAAAGTAAATAACCGAACAAGTTATTAATTTATTCACTCACATATTCATCCAGCTGACGTTAATCATTAATTTACTGCGCCCCAAATAAAAATTTTATGGGAACAAATGAGACTGCGCGCAGGCAGGGGTGCAAGGTAAGGCGTAACTGACATCGGGACCTGTAGGCTGTGATTTAAAGAGCAGCAAAGACAAACCCAGGCGAAAAGTCAAGGGCATGATGGGTAGGGAAGGTAGAAGAGCTGATAGGAAATAAAGTTGGAAAAGCAATTTGTGGACAGATCTTGAGAGGCCTTTTTTTTGCAGGGGGGGTCAAGCTAAAGATTTTGGATTTTTTTAAAGATTTTATTTCTTTATTTTTAGAGAGGGAATGGAGGGAGAAAGAGAGAGAGAGAGAAACATCAATGTGCGGTTGCTGGGGGTCATGGCCTGCAACCCAGGCATGTACCCTGACTGGGAATCGAACCTGTGACACTTTGGTTCGCAGCCTGAGCTCAATACAGTGAGCTATGCCAGCCAGAGTAAGATTTTGGATTTTATCCTCTAAGTTATGGGCGAATGTTTAAGCAGAGCTATGACATGATCAACTTTGTTCTTTATGACTGTATAACTTCGATGACTCTGGAAGTCAATTTATTTGGTTGGGAACGAATATCAATCAAGCTGGCTGTTTGGCATGATGCAGGCGACATAACTGGTTGATTGACTGAGTACCTCGAGTTTTCAGCCAGTTGTTTTGACATGTGTATTCATAACCTCAGCATAAAAATGGTATTTTTAGCATGCCTGATTTAGTCCATAATTCTTTATGGCAGTTATCTTTAAGAGTTAATTCTATCGCAGAATTACAAGTACAAATATCATATATCTATGCACACACATATATATGTAAAATTTTGATGAAGACAAGACCATGCAGTGCACAGTGAGAAGATACTATTAACTCAAAAAAAAAGGCACCGCTAAAACTTTCAGAGGATATAATCACATACTGAGTTAAGTAGTGGAAGCTGAGGCTGATGGAGCAGGAATTGAAAGCTGTATTTTATGCCGCCATACCACGGATAGAATCAGGAACTTCCTGCCAAGTAGTAAAATAGGTAATTTATTTGTTTTTATCCATAAAATGCTACCCACTTTAAACTGATCCATGTTTCCTTGCATTATTTATGACAAGGAGTCAATTTGAGCAGGATATTATGTTGAACATCAGGAGTAAGAAAAAGTATGGCGAAAGAGATTTAAATCAAACCCCAGAAAGATGAGTCGGATGTTCATTTCTGGGTCTGCTCTAGTGGGGAAGGAATGGTTCCAGGTGTAAAAGAAGTCAAGTTCTCAGCGCCGGCATGGAAGAAAGCGAAGAAGATGAGGATTAACAACTCCGCGGTGTCCAGCACCATTAGAACGGATGGCCAGCAGCAAGCCACAAGAAGGGCTCGGTAGAAAAAGTAGATTCAGCCCTGGCTGGTGTAGCTCAGTGGATTGAGGGCGGGCTGTGAACCAAAGTGTCGCAGGTTCGATTCCCAGTCAGGATACATGCCTGGGTTGCAGGCTGTGACCCCCAGCAACCACACATTGATGTTTCTCTCTCTCTCTCTTTCTCCCTCCCTTCCCTCTCTAAAAAATAAATAAATAAAATCTTTTTTAAAAAAAGGTAGATTCGATGAGAGGGCTTCACCCTTCTCCCCGGACCCTTCCCTTTTCTTATTCACTCACACAGTAGGTGAGCAAAATGTTGAACCTGTCACTTCTCCGGTAAGGTGTCGAGGAACGAACAGAACATTAAGATAGAAATTATTTTAGTGAACAGTTTTTGTACTATCTTCAAACAACTCCAGCCTCTAACAATGGGGAGGGAAGCTTTCCCAGGCCATGGGAGGAAGTCACTAAGCAAACACAATACAGGACTATAAAGGAAATAAGTGAGGCATGCGGATGCCAGAGAAGCAGATGGTAAACGGTCAGTGCAAGCACACACTAGTCCTCGTAATGCTAAATGTTCTTAAGACAAGGCGAACTAGAGAGACCTCACGTACGCGGTGCGCACTCAACTTCCTCTTACCGCCCCTCAGTACCCCACGATGCCTCCTCTGGTAGACTCCGGAAGGAGCGTGGCATGGTTGTCCCAGTTTGTGTCTGTTGGCTGGCACAATCACAGCATTCTGTTTCCTTCTAAAAATATCTCAGTTTGCACGATAAATGACATGACCGTGCACTTATACGGTGTAACACCTCCTCTAGAATGTTTTTCTCAGCCATCCGCTGGCCTTTAATTTTCCTTAAGGCCCTGAATAGCCTCTTGTCTTGGAGAATTAGCATTGAAATCCCCCACTTGCAGTTAAATATTAGATTCAAGCAACGGTTCTTCTTCGGGGGGTGGGGAGAGCAGGTTGGCTGGGGAACCAGGGCGTGCATAGGTTTAGAGCGTATCCTCGGCGGCAGCATGCAAATTCCCCAGAATCCATCTGCGGACGGTACAGTGCTAATTGACAGGTGCTGTAAGTCATAAAGCGTTCAGCGCACACACAAATGACAAGAGCACCAGATGGGACCCGCTCAGCAAGAAACCTCAGGAGCTTTCCCCTTCTGTCTCTCTAGAAAATCACCAAAAATATTTGTTGTGCAACGGTATTTGTTATAATGATGGGAAGTACCTGAATTGGGTGGGAATTGACAAAGACACCCACACACAATAAAAAAAAAACATAGCCCATTGAAACTTCCCAGAATTTTTAATCTGTGAATCTGGCCTTAGGATGACGTACCATCTACGACACAGAAGCCATGCTGAACTTCACCCACTGACTCTGTCCTACCAGCAGATGAGGATACATCTCTCCTATGCTGTATCTGCTTTGGTTTCCCCTCTGCCCTGAGTCATTTCACCAGTTAGTTTGAGCGATAGACATTATGTTCATTGTTTTGATGATATTCATTACAGTTTTAAATTGTGTACTGCCATTTTCACGGAACTCAAAACAGCATCTAACATTTACACTTTTAACCTCTATTTGTAATATGTTCTTTAGTAAAAACCCTCTGTTTACCCATATTTTGTTACATGTTGCCTATTTTTTCCACTGGAGACCTCAACACATTCCTATCAATATTTTAACTGTCCTGCCTGACAGTTACAAAGTCACTGTTTTATCTGGGTTCAGTTCTGATGCTTCCTTTGGGTCTGCCTTTTCCTCTGGCCTTTTTAGCAGGACTTGAGCTGTTTTTAGTGAAAGGTGGGTGTGACCCATCAGGAGATGGAAGCGGAGGTCTTCCTCGGGGGGTTTATGTTAGTTTGGCAGGACTTGGGCTGCGTTTCAAGTTTGCTGCAGCTGTAGGTACTGGGGCTGCATTTTCTTCTAGGGTCCTTGCCTTGCTCTCCCCGGTCGTCTTTGGTTTTTCTAGGAAGTCTCTTCTCAAATACAAGCCGAGTTCTGTTGTAATTCACTGTTATAGCAGAGTCCTGGTCCTGGGATGTGTGTTTGGGGTAGGGGGGCGGGGGATCAGTCTGTAATCTCTTATTTTTTAAGTTTAAACTTTATTGTATTTTTCCCATTGCCATTTATTGCCCTTGTGCCCACCCCCCCCCCCCACACACAGCAACCACCACGCTGTCGTCCATACCTTTCTGTTGGTCTGTGTCCTTGGGTTGTTACCTGCGGACGGTTTCTTTGCCTTTGACCTTTCCTCCCTTAGGAGGGGCCGGAACCCTGGAGGGGCCAGCCTCGGGGAAGTGCTCTTTCCTCTGGAAAAGCTCTTCCGTGGGGCAGCTGGCCTTTGTTATGAGAGTGCTCTGGAGGTTTTCCAAAAATGGTTCAGTTTCCGCATCCCTGAAGAAGAAGGAAGGGATTTTTGTCCTGGCTCTTCACAGTGAGAATCTTGTGAGGTCCCTGGAGGTAAAGCCCACAAAGCAAGACCAACCCCCCCCCCCGCCCCGCCCCCAGACCCTGGCCTCGTGAGCTTGCCACTCTCACTCCTGTGCACCCCCTCCTGTCCACAGCCTCTTTTCACTCCCGTCTGCAGCCTCCAGCGACTTGTCGACGTGACCAGATGGATGCGCTTGCCAGGCGATGGGCCCAGCAGCTCCCACGTGCTGTGTAGTCACTGTGACTCCCTGCTTCTCCAGGTTTCAGGGAGACTCGGGTGTCTATGTTATGGTGGGCTAAGGAAAACGCACAGGTCGTCAGCTTCATCAACTTTTCTCTTTTCGTTAGCATGACAGTGATGATTTTAAGCTCTGGACATCTCAGAGTCCAGGTTCGTTTCCTCTAGGCTGTTTTTGAAAAGTCATTAGGACTTGCTTTTCCTAAACGGCACGGGCGCTGGTGGCTGCCCGAAGGCTTGCTGCAGGCCGGTGCCAGGTGTGGCCCGGAAAGCGGAAGTCCCAGTGCCGTCATCTCCGAAGTTCAGACAATAACAGATCCAGCTCTGAGATGGCCAGGCTGCTAGAACCTTCTCCGTCTTGTTTCCCTCGGGCATTGCTGACTGTTGGCGGTCAGACCCACCCGGGAAGCTGAGGTCCCCAGAAGGTAAGCGGAACCTATGTGGTTCATTTTTAAATATTCTGTTAGCAAATGTACATTGGTTTCAAACATTAAATAAGCTTTGATTAATGGGATTCGCAAATAACACATGCACTGATTCTTTTAATCTATGTTGCCTTGGGAAAGCCTGTTTTTCAAGGATATGATATTATACACAGAAGTAAGGCCTGCTGGAGTGTGGTGGGCAGGGTAATAATATGGGTGTAATAATGTACAGTTTTAATGTGAACATTGCACCTAAAATGTCCCAGGGCGTGCTTGAGTGTGATATTGTCATGTTACAGAATTACATGCTTACGATTTTGTAATAAAAGATTTTGTAATGAAAGAGGGGTGTTATTTGTGTCAGACCCTGTATATTTTGTAATTATCTACTTATGCATACATATGGAATCATGTTTTATATTTGAAGAAATACTTGATGTCAGTTATATAAAAAATACAAGTATGAAAAAATCTTTAAAGTATTTCTAATTTTGTTTATCCTTTGTTTTTTGTTATTAAACCTATATTGAAGTAATTTTCCCAGGCTTATGATAGCACAGTTGCTATGATAAATGATTTAATGTCACAAATTTCACAAGAAAAACAGAAAATTCTATTACCACTAGTAAAACCTCTTGCCCTGTATACAAAGACCTCATTGATTAATTCCTTTAACATGGTATATTCTGTCCTCTCAAAAAGCTGTTAAAATTGAATCCACCTCATAAACAATCCAAAAGATAAGGGAAGTTGTGTTTAAATACAAATGGTTTTGAAAATGAATAATCACAGTAAACAGTGCTGCTAGGCAAAACTGGTGAAGGTACGCCCTGACCGGGAATCGAACCCGCAACCTTTCTATCTGTGGATGACATTCCTGTTTGGGACTCGCTCTTAGGTGAGCCTCAAGAGCTAGGAAGTAGGTGACAGGTCATGGCGATTCACTAACTACAACGCGTTGACTCTAGATGAGCCTTCTAAGAGAAAACATCTCTCACACAGCAAGCCGAGATGTCGATTTAAACTTGACTCCACCACTGCTTTCTTTCTCCCTGTAAGGGAGCGCTGTGTCATTAGGGAGACGAGGGAAGGCAGAGTGTTGTTCACGGTTTGTGTCCGTCCTCCATAAAATTAAGTAAACCTTCCATTGTCATGTTCCGCCGGGCAGGGCTTTCTTTTCTCTATTTCATGTCAATCTTTTTGTCCAGGTTACACAATTTTGCAATGGAGTCACCTATGTTCTCACCTTAAATGGTAGTATTATTCAATACCCTCTTTGCTCTGGCAACAGTTATTTATCAATTGCCTCCTATGCCCCAGGCAGTCCTGCAGGCATTGGGGGGGGGGCAAATTAAACAACATAAACTCACTGGGCTTTATTAAATATATAGATTAGAAATTAACTTTACGTGTTCGCCGAAGACATTTCTGTCACATAGCATCCAAAAAGCTCAGCATATTTCGGAAACTGGAACTTACATGGGATGTACTCTCAACGGTACGGCACAATGGTACTAGCTAGTAATGAAAACCTTGAACAAACTCTACCGCCGCTCCACAACCAACACTAAAATCACGTGGAAATTTTTAAAGCTATATCTCACACATGTCTGCTGAGTCAATGCAGAAATAAACACGATCAGAACCAACAACTATGAGGTGACAGAACGGAGAGGGCTGTGTTTAACAACCTCTCCGTTATTATTGTTGGCACTTATCTTCTGTGCCAACATAAACATTGTCTTCGGAAAAAGAACAGAGAAGAAGAAATAAAAGAGCGCCAGAAAGAATAAAGGGTAAAAGTTAAATTCAAGTCAGTCATTCAGAAAAAGAACAGACAAAAGGCAGTGGGCGGTGGTGGGGGACACGAGGGCCGCAAAACTGTTACGGGGACAGAAACCGAGGAGCCAGTACGTCTGCTACAACTCAGTTACCTGACGGGAGAATAATACACTTTAGAAAGTCCTTGGGTTTCCAATAAAAATCTGAAGGAAGGAAGGATATAAAAAAATTTAAATATAACTATAACAACGTACTTAAATGCATAAGTATTTGTGTACAGTGTACGTGGTGTGTTTTGAAGAAATGTTTCCTGAGTTTTGGTAGAATTATGTGTCTTTTATTTCTGAAAAAGGGACTTTAAAATCTGGTAGCAATAGGCTCAGAAACATTGTTCTCTTTGAACTAAAAATATAATGTACAGAAAGGTACCAAAAAGGTATAAATGCAGCCATTAATTTTTATGTTTATGGCATCATTTTATATTAAATATACCACAATTAATATAGCATAAATATTAAACAAGACATAATATCTGTAAATAGTAAACTTTATCTTTGGAATAATGTTCAATAGCCAAATTTTTTGTTAAATTTTATACAGAAAATAATTTGTCATCACGAATTCCAGTTTCATACTTTGAAACTGGAAATGCATTAAAATGTTTGAGAGAAAATTTTGTTCATGAAAATCTATCACTGTTATCCTTTGTTTATACCAAAAACTTGGAATGAAGATACCTGCCGGGATTACGTGGTGAGTTTTACATGGTGAGGTCAGCACATCATTTAGTGAAATCTGACACCTAGTAGAAATGAAGTTCTCTGCAGCCAGCCCCTGTGCATTCCAGCTGATACAGTTACTTAGATATCAAGTTCATAACTCAGACTCAACATGTCAATTACAGAAATAATCCCACCCACACACATTATTTATTGATTGAAGAAAGTTATATGGATGTCCGTAGATGCTCAATATTTTATGTCCATTCATTCAATAAAGGCTTGATGTCTTACTACCAAATATGTGTTTAAATGTGTGAAACTAAATTGTTATACAAAAAAATTAAGTCTAGAGAATAGCTCAGGCCTACAATTTTCCTTTGAAATAAGAAATGCATTTTCTTTCAGTATGACTTTATTAATTAATGTTTCTGCATCAAAGTCCTGTTTGGAGCCACTTAATCATTTGCCAACATTGTGTTATTTTAAGTTGTTCAACCACTCATTGCATTAAAGGTCTTTTAAAATAAATTAGTAACATCAATCTAAGATCCAGTGTTCATTTCAACACTGACAATTCATTTGCACACCCCCAGAATATGGTGATCATCACAGTATCACTTAATTATTATAGTTACCCCATGAGATTTTAACTTTAAAGTGTAAAGTATAAAGATTATTTCAAAAGTCACTGATTATTGATGCGTACCAGTAAACACGCACACGCACACACACAGGTGCATACAATCCTGTTTAGTTCTTTTAAACGTGTGTAACCTGATGCAGGAGTAACTGTTAAAACTACAGACACTGGATTTTGAGTCCAAGCGAACGTTCTCTGGGGCGAGACTTGGAGAACTTTGCAAACAGGTTGGGAGGTGGCGGTATGAGGCCGAATTTGGGCCTCAGCTCACTTTAAATGATTGCGATGGGTAACCATAGAACTCACTTTGTTATGTTGCTAAAATCAAGTACTAACAATATGTATTTTTCAACATATGAAATTATGCAAAGCATTTTAATCACCTGTTTCAACATATCACAAAAAAATAATCTATGTTTACTTTGTTTTATATCCATGTAAAATAAACCTTGTAAAATACCTTGCTTGCTTAAAAGCATATATAAATGCCATTATACTGCTTTTTAAAATAATAGGGTATTAAAATAAGATACACTGGCATCGCTAATGAATACATAACTTAGAAATAGGTAAATATAAATAGCCCAGGTCATTTTGTTTATCACTCAACGGAATAAACCCCATTAAACATGAGAAGGGCACTAAAATTATAAAAGCTTTACAAAGAAAATTTCCTCCAGCTTTGTTATGCTCTAAGCAATTGAAAGATGCTTTTGAAGTCCACTGCACCATTTATATTGTGTGGATCGTAAAGACACCTTGCAGTCCAGCACTTAACTCAACTTTATTTCAGTACCTTAAGTAACAGCTTGCCTCTTACATAATCCCTGGTACTGTTCATCCCTCTTTCCTTAAGAATAATAAAACAAGCTAAAGAAGTTATAAAACACATGCCATGTTATCTATATAAAAAGCAACTCATAAGATGCTCAAGTTCTTAAAATGACAAAAAAATGAGTTTTGTGAATCTTCTAACCTCAAATTAATGTTAAAAAAGATCGCTTTTCCTCAAGTGAAACACGGCTGTGAAACATGAGAAACCATCCTCGCTCCATTTGTCTTTATGAGGATAAAACACATTTCAGTGGATGTATGAAGTAGTTCCTCCAAGTCTAAAATATCCCTACACTTAAACATATTATGGGCAAAAAATGGGGCATCCTGACTCGGTTGTCATGTGCTTGTATTTGATATTCAAAGCTGCTTCATCCCCAAACATTGCAGTTCAGTTACTTTAACGGGTTTATGAATTGTGTGTACATTGTTATAAATTTTGACAACTACAGCTTCTGTTTCACTGGTAACATATTATAATTTTTTAGCTATGATTATAGATTACATCCCTCCCCTACCAAGTATAACTTCCACTCTATAGATTTCATAATCTAGAAAGAATAATGCTTTTAACCGTAGTGTTTGCATTGCACAAAAATTTGCCTTCTAGGATCACAGCAGAGAAATTTATCTCCAAGTTCACCACCACCAGCCCACATCCTCTGCTATGGTGCGTGATCTTTTCCTACAGACTTCTGTTCCTCCTTGATGTGACCTCACGAGCACAGAGACTGACATCCATCTTCCCGGTGACCACCCTGCATCACCGCATCTCAGCCCCTGGGCTCCTACCTCCTGATGGTCCTCATTTTCTTTCCCTTTCACTTCAGTCAGCCAAGTCTGCTCATCTGCGATGGAATCCTCATGAATCTCTGTGCATTTTTCTTGTCGCTCTGCAAGTGGCCTTTGTACAAGACTAAATTGATGGAGCCTGTTTTGCATAATAACCTGCTAGATCATTTCCCGTAACTTCTGTACAATTTCTTGCCTAGAGTGACCCTGAAGCCTGATCAAAGCTCTATCCTTGGGTGGCCACCTAGGTTCATTCGGCTTCAAAGAGATTCACTCAACAGAAGAATACAGGATAGTTATTATTCACGAAATTACTGTGTTCTTTTTTAATATAAACCCATCAAAAATCCTTGTAAAGTGGCCTTTGGTCCTGAAGTGCCCACCAGATTTAAGGCACGAACCCTCCCTAAACTTCAGAGCCATCCATAGGAGGTCTTCCTTGATGGGTAGGAGTAGTGAAGTCGCTGGATTGAATGTGTTACATAAACAGATGGCAATGGGAACGGGGGAAAGTAACACATTTTTTATAGTTATTTAATTACCCACTTGAAAGTCTGTGTGTGTGTTTATTTAGCAATAGAGGCTGGACTGCATGCATTAACTTCAGACTTCAAGGAAATCCTAGTGTAAGGGCTGAAGATAATTTGACTAATTTTAGGAAAATGTTGGTGCAACGTGATTTTTAATTTCCTGAGTGGGGGGAAAGCCCTGAAAAAGGGAACCGTTTATTCTGGAGGCCAGAGAAAGAGCAGAGGGAAGAGAAGGAGTCCCACTGGCTGAGGACAGTGGAGCTGAGTAGAGAAAGGCATCGACCACCGAGGGCGCACTGCACACGGTTTCGGAGTCCCAGAGAAACACTGCTTGGGAGTAAGCATTCTGTGGGCAGGCCTGACCGTTTCAACTTTAAGAGCTGATCCACGTTTGAATACCACTTCACCGAATGTCTCGATTTCCTCTCCATCTGTTGAGTTCAGCTGGCCCGGAGTTCCCTATCATGGCCCATGTTAGGACAACTTCCCATCTGGAGTGTTTTCCCCAAACAAGTTTAGGATTCTAGTGAGACTCCATACGGAAAGGGTGGGGTCTTCCGGGAGGAAGCGGCAGTGTTGAAACAGACGGAACTATGACAAACAGAAAAGAGGCCTCCAAGGCCCCGAGCTGGTCCAAAGGATGTGTTTACAACGGGGTGTGTCACGGGATCCTTGGCCGTTCGGAGAATAAGAAGCTCCAGCTCAGTGGCCACTGGACCACTCTTGACCCTTGACCTTTAAAACACACAGGGACCTTTTTTAATTAATTAACTAGGCAGGACGTGTTCTCATGAAGGTTCAAAGCAAAGTCTGACCAATGTCTTCTCACTCTTGTTCACCAGTCTAATAAGACATCCAACCACTAGTCTGCAGGCCGGCTTAGGCTGGATTGGAAGGTTCTGGGGCCTGAGGTTCCATTCTAACCAGATACAAGAACATCGAAGGTTAACCCAAAACCCCCTTTAGAAGAGTTATTTATTATACAAATCAAAAGGAACAACAGAAAAGTAATCAGCTTAAAGGCAAAGATATTTACACAGAGTCCACCCACATTGCCCACTTCTTCCCTTAGGGTGAGCGAGAACTAATGGGTCTTAGAGAGACCCCCAAGCTCACCCTTGGGAAGTTGTCATTTATGTCAATCAACGGCCTCCAGGACGCTGCCTGCCACAGAGCTGTCACCCACTGTCCCTGTTTGATTTCAAGGCCGGGGCCACCAGTAGCTCCCACGCCACTTCTCTGTTTGAACACCCTCTCCTTGTTGCCCTTCCCACAGTGCCCAGGGCGTGGCCCTTCCTCAGCCCCCGTGGCCCGGTCTGGCTGCTCCAGGAAAACGTGAATGACTGAAGAACAGAAGAATAATCGCTGTTCGGAACCTTAAGGTCACCCTGCCCATTTTCTTGCCGATTATTGCTTGTCGTCCAAAGTCTGAAGAGGTAGATTCAAATGTTTTCTTTCCCTGTTGGTCCCAATTTCAATTTAATTGCGGTATATTTTTATAGTACTCAAATGGCTAAGGGTAATGACTCCTAATTTCATTAAGAAATTGTATTCTTTTCTATTTTTTATTTTTGTCATGTTTTTGCTGGTTTCAGAGAGAAAAAATCAGAGGAAAGAATGCTGGCTTCACCATCTTAAAGAAAATTTCTTATATTCTTATTTACTGGCTGTAAGAAATAAAATTTGTTTGCCTTTCGCACAAATTGTGGTATAAAGTTGCGGTCCACTTTGTGAATTTGTGCTAGCTGAAAAGGACTCAAACACCCATTTTTTCTCATAGTGTTGGTTTTTCACTTAATTTATAAAGTAATATTTTCTGTAAGATGTTGGGCACGGATGTGGTACATTTGGAAACATTAAAAAAAACCTCAAGATATATTATCTACTTTCATTGTCCTTTGAGGCTTTCTATAATTTAATGCCATCTCATATCACAAAAATGCTTCAAGAACATTATCAGGAAGTTTTAGCATGGTGCAAATTGTGTTATTTCATAGGAAGGTCTATTGTAAATGTTAAGAATAAAACTAAATGTGAATTAAATGAAGATTAAGTATGTATCACAACAAAGTTGCTGAGGGGAATGAAAATATGCTATATGTCACTTTAAGACACTAGACCAATCTAATTACTTTGTACAGTGCAGTGGGGCCCACGCATAAGAATGAGATACACAGCCATTTGCATTGTCAAAACTGTGGGATCCACTGCAGCCGTGCTCTGCAAACGGTAAGTGCTACAGAACATTCGAGACATACTAAAGAGGCCCTGGCTGGTGTAGCTCAGTGGATTGAGGATGGGCTGCGAACCAAAGTGTCGCAGGTTCGATTCCCAGTCTGGGCACATGCCTGGGTTGCAGGCCATGACCTCCAGCAACCGCACACTGATGTTTCTCTCTCTCTTTCTATTTCCCTCCCTTCCCTCTCAAAAAATAAATAAATAAAATCTTAAAAAAAAAAGAAAAAAGAAAACGAGTCTCTCTGTTTAGATGGAACATAATTAAGAATATTGAACTTAATGAAGCCAATAATAGTTGTAGTTTGGTACAACTAAGGTAAATATTTCAATAGAAATGTATATATATTTTTTTCAAGTCAAAGTTTAAAACAATAATAACCAATGGAAATAACATACTAAATGGAAATCTATTATCGAATATAAGATGCTGAAGCTAGAATTTCTCTTGAAGGAGAAATTTAAGAAAACTCATTACCTATGCTACCCCTCTTTATGGTGTATAAATACATGCCTATAACACTTCTAAATTAGTTATTATATTTTATTTACATGTTAGACATGAAGTATGAACACATAGAATTACGTCAAATTCATTTCTGAATCATCAGTACATGAAGGACATTAGTAAAGGTTCTGGACAATATACATCTGGATATTAACAAGTAGCTTTCCCTTCCGGTCCAGGCCTCCGGGGAGATGGCTACGGCGCAGCAGTCCAGAGAGAACGGGGACGGTGGCGAACAAACACTGAGCAAGAATGAGCAGAAGAGACGCCTGAAAGCTGAAAAGAAAATGGTGGAGAAGGCGGCCACGCAGAAGGGGCTCAGTGAGAAACCACCGAGCTGGGCCCACGCTGCCGCCGCCGCCGCCCACACCGCCAATGACCATGCGGGTCCCGAGGAGGAGGGCCTGGACCCGAACCAGTACTACAAGATCCGCAGCCACGCCATCCAGCAACTGAAGGCCGATGGGGAAGACCCGTACCCACACAAATTCCACGTAGACATCTCGCTGACTCACTTCATCCAAGAATACAGTCACCTGCAGCCTGGGGACCACCTGAGTGACGTCACCCTAAAGGTGGCAGGTAGGATCCATGCCAAAAGAGCTTCTGGGGGAAAGCTCATCTTCTATGACCTCCGAGGAGAGGGGGTCAAGTTGCAAGTCATGGCCAATTCCAGGAATTATAAATCAGAAGAAGAATTTATTCGTATCAATAACAAACTGCGCCGAGGAGACATCATTGGAGTTCTGGGGAATCCTGGGAAAACCAAGACGGGAGAGCTGAGCATCGTGCCCCATGAGATCACATTGCTGTCTCCTTGCTTGCATATGCTGCCGCATCTGCACTTCGGCCTCAAAGACAAGGAAACACGGTATCGTCAGAGATACTTGGACTTGATCCTGAATGACTCTGTGAGGCAGAAATTTATCACCCGCGCTAAGATCATCACATATATAAGAAACTTCTTGGATGAGCTGGGATTCCTGGAGGTCGAAACTCCCATGATGAACATCATCCCAGGCGGAGCGGTGGCCAAGCCTTTTATCACCTACCACAATGAGCTGGACATGAACTTGTACATGAGGATCGCCCCAGAACTCTACCATAAGATGCTGGTGGTTGGTGGCATTGACCGGGTGTATGAGATTGGACGCCAGTTCCGGAATGAAGGAATTGACATGACTCACAATCCCGAGTTCACCACCTGTGAGTTCTACATGGCCTACGCAGACTATCACGACCTCATGGAAATCACGGAGAAGATGATCTCTGGGATGGTGAAGAGTATCGCAGGCAGTTACAAGGTCACCTACCATCCAGATGGCCCCGAGGGCCAAGCCTACGAGGTTGACTTCACCCCACCCTTCCGGAAAATCAGCATGCTGGAAGAGCTTGAGAAATCGCTGGGCGTGAAGCTGCCGGAAACCACCCTCTTGGAAACTGAAGAAGCTCACAAAATGCTTGATGACGTTTGCGTGGCCAGAGCTATTGACTGCCCTCCACCTCGGACCACAGCCAGGCTCCTGGATAAGCTTGTGGGGGAGTTCCTGGAGGTGACGTGCGTCAATCCCACCTTCATCTGTGACCACCCGCAGATAATGAGCCCTCTGGCTAAGTGGCACCGCTCCAAAGAGGGTCTGACTGAGCGCTTCGAGCTTTTTGTCATGAAGAGGGAAATATGCAATGCCTACACCGAGCTGAATGACCCCGTGAGGCAGCGGCAGCTTTTCGAAGAACAGGCCAAGGCCAAGGCCGCTGGGGATGACGAGGCCATGTTCATAGACGAGAACTTCTGCACTGCCCTGGAATACGGGCTGCCCCCCACGGCCGGCTGGGGCATGGGCATTGACCGCGTCACCATGCTGCTCACAGATTCCAGTAACATCAAGGAGGTGCTGCTGTTTCCTGCCATGAAACCTGATGACAAGAAGGACAATGGAGCAACTGCTGAGACACTGGACAGCACAAGAGTGGGCACTTCTGTCTAGAAAAGGAGCATTGCAAGTCTCATAACTCAGGCATCTCTGCACTTCTGCAGAAGGTCGAGGACGTGCTTGCATGGTGCTACGCATCTGACTATCGCAGTTCCGTCCCAGAGAGAGAGGAAAGGAATTAGACACTCCTCCTTTACTCCTCGTTGCCAAGTAAACCATTTGTCGCTTTTGAAAAAAGTAGCGTTATATGATAGAGGTGAAAGGGTTTGGGGCTTATTAATTCATGGCTAGGCCCTAAACAAATGAGAAAAATATCTCACTGTATCTGTGCTATATTTCATAGTTTATAGAGAAATGCTTCCCCTATTATCAAAATAATAGAATTAATAAAAATTATCAATACAGATTTAGAAAATACTAAATGCAACGCATGATGCTGTTCAGTTTGAGAACTGTACTAACCCTCGCTTGATTACTGATTTTACATGCACTGTGAAACAGATAAAACGATCAAGTTTGTGCAAAACAATATTTAGTTAAAGACAAGTTCTGTCTCTAACAATGAGTTAAGAACCTCCTCCATTCATTTGGAACCTCTACTATCTAGTGTAACTTAGCCTTCTTTCTTCTGTGTTTGTGTTTCTTTCTCAATGCAACATGAAACTATGTTAGAGCGCCTTAATGAGACCTGCACGCTCTTAACTCATTTAATTGTGCATGGAATGTATCAAGCACTTAATATTTTTTAAATAGAAATATACAAAATATACAGACTCTAGGTTTCTGAAAATACATGTACATATTACTCCTGCTATTTTTTATGACTGAACTGTTGAGCTACCATAGCCACATTTATTAAAATAAAAGTAACATATTTTTTAAATTATTCATATAGTTTAGCTTCATAAAACTCACATAACTTTCAAGGAGGAAATGCATGATTTTATAACCACATTTAATTATCTCTAATAAAGTAATATAAAATGAGAATACTTTAATCCCTTTTAAACCTTCAGTTATAACTTGGGTAGACATTATTCTATTTAAATAGTAAACTCTAACCCTGTTTCCTAGTTTATAACATGGATGAAAACCTTTACCACCTTAAAATATTACCATGGCTTGATTTTTACTTTCTTGGCAAAAGTTACTTTCTTTGGAAAAATAAAGTAAAGGAGGTGACATCCCGTTTATCACCCTTCAGTCACATATGGTTAATCACTTAACCGTCACACCTTAAACTTTTTTTCAATCCCTCACTTCTGACACTGTTCTGGTCAGATTATTGTTACTCGATAAACATTGATTAACTCATTATACCATTTATATTTCTGAAAAATTACAAGTGGGAATAAGAACATTAAGAACAGAGAGACACAAGTACATTTGAATATCTAAGCACCAAGGAATAGAGTTTGTGCCTCTTATTCAAACACTCTCAGGGAAGCACCTGAAAGATTTGTGTTTATGAGAAAGATGAGAGAGTCAGATATTTGGCTTAAATAACACAGTCCACTTCCACAGCCGTATTTTCACAGCAAGGAGTAGATGGTGCCAAGATAGAGGATGGCAGGAGCAGGAGACCCTGGTCGCAGTCTGCAAGGAGGAGGTGTAAAGGAAAGCAGATGCCAGGGAGAACACTAAAGCAGGGGTTTGTGCCTTGCCAATGTGACGCAGAAAATGTTGGCAGGAGCCAAAGCCAGGGCCTTATATTGCTGTGAAGTCAGGCCCTTAATGTAGCCTGAAGGGACCACAGGTAGGTGCTGAAGGTCCGTCCAGGTGTCTAGAATCTACGGTGACAGTGGGAACAGCAGGAAGTCATGCAGCATGAAAAAAAGTTTAAGAGGTGATCAGGAAACCAGGCCAAGTGCCTGGAAATGAGGGGGAGGTCCTGAGTATGGCATTCAAGTGACACATGACAGAGAGCGGGAAAATAAGGCCCTTAGTGGTACATCCATTCATAACCTTGAGAAGGGCGGTTCACGTGTGATGGCTGATTGTAGAGATGGCAACCTTCCCGTGAAGCCCTTGGTCTTTAAAAACTGGGACGTCTTGAACTATTAAAATGATATGTAAATCATCTCCCTCTTTAGGAGGAATGTAACTAGAGAAAATAGCGGGATGAAGTTGGTGGCAAGCATAAAATACATTAAACATGTATTTATGGTAGCAGCCTATTTTACCACTTTTATTGACGACCAAACTTTATATGAGTAGGAAAGCTGTACAATTACATAGCTTATATTAAATAGTTATTGATTTTTAGTGTCTTCGGAGAACTGTTTTCATATTTCAAGATAATAATTAAAAAGTGGTCAGAAAAATTAATTTCAGAATGAGACACCAATGGAAAAGTGAAATTTGATGACCTGAGAAAATTAGAAAGATACACAATTGTGTAATTATGTTATGTAATAAAAGTGTCTAATTAAAGGGTTTAAGATCAATATTGAACCAAATGTGTCCAGGAACATATTCCAACATTTCCACTTAAATACCTCAGCTAAGTTTTGACCTTAAAGTGGCAGTTACATTAAAAATGTATTCATTTTAAGATTATAAAGTAGCATATTGATTTTTTACAAAGAGTTACATAATTAATCCCAACTAATTGCAATTGATGACATCAAATTGGCCATTCCGAGTTCACCTACAATTTTGAGGGTTACTTTACCACTTTATAGTTATAATTTTATATTATCCCAGTCTTTTTAAATACTCTCATGAATGGTTTGCATAGTAGATAGTCAATGTCAAATATTAAAGTCATTGTGTTTCATTCATTTCTAAAAATGTTAAACATCATTAGCATACACCCTAGAATATTTATGTCTAGGTAATATACACCCAAGAGAATAAAATCAGAGGCTCACACAAAAATCTTGCAGCATTATTCATAATAACTAAAAAAAAATAAGTAAAGCCAAATGCCTGCCAACCAATGAATGGATAAACCTATTTGGTATATCCATACTATGGACTAGTGTTTAGCCATAAAAAGTAATGATACCGTGATTTATGATATAACATGGAGAACCCTTGAAAATATATGGTAGGAAGTCAGACACAAAAGGCCACGCATTATATGATTCTATTTATATGGAATGTACAGAATAGGCAAATGTGTAGAAAGTGAAATATTTGCATTTGCCAGGACTGGGGGGAAACGGAGGAATGATATTTAATGAGTATGAGAACAATTTGGGAGGGGCGATGAAAATGTTTGGCATTGTGATGTTTGTATAATTTCAAAATACGCTAAAATTCACTGAATTCTACACTCTAAAGGGTAAACTTTATGGCATGTTGGTTGTATCTGAATTTTACATTTTCATTTTTTAGATCAAATTGTATTTAGCTAACACAAGTATTAGTCAAAATTATAAATTCCAGAAGAAAACAACCTCATTGAGGACTCAGTGCACAGTAGGACAACGATAAGCATGAAAACAAAATTTTCTAGACGCGCAAGGACGTAGACCTCAAATTATCCACACAGGATACATGAGCAAACAGGATCAGGCAGTACAAAGCCGGCCAGACGCACCATCCCCAAATGAAGTTTACCCAGGACTGCAAGATGTGTGTAACGTTTGAAAGCTTATTAGTGGAACTCATTTCAATGGTGAAATACTGAACACTATAACCTTAACTTCATGAAAGAAAGGATAGAACTTTACTAATACCTATTCAAGGTAGTATTAACCAACCTCTTCCATGTTATAAAAAATAAATTTAGACAGTAATTACCTTCGGGAAAGGGTGGCGAGCGTTATAAAGTACCATAGTGTGTAACCATCTGACTTAATTAAAAGATATTTTAATAAAAGAATGGTTCCTTGAGATTATTGAGTTTACAGTTTCTTAGTCCCAAGAGTATCAGTACATGTCCCTGAGGCTAAATGGTGGGCAGGGAAGGTGAGGAAGGAAAAGAAGATTACAGTGCAAATAGAGGGTGTGCAAATTTTCTCTTTCTCTCCCCTAGTCCAAGCTGACTCCATACTTTCTTCCGTTACAAAGGGTCGTTTTTCACAGAGATGCTCATTCTTCAGTCAACACATACCCTGGCTGGCTCCGACCCACACACTGTCGCCTTCATCCGCCCAAACACACTTGCTGTTTCAAAGTGAGGTCTCCCAAGGATTCATTTCATGGGCATGGACTTCTGGCTCACTAAGAATTTTTGCAAAATGCAGTTCTCTCCATGTTCTGGAGTTTTGTACTTGTGCATTTCAAACACCAGCGTCCTCTTACGATTGCTCAGCTACTACATTAGAAGACAGTTGCAGTGATTCTAGTTACATAATTAATTATGTTCCATTTAAAAGTATGAAAATATGTCCATGTTAACAATCCAAGAACCTTTATCTCCTCGTGACCGGCTTTGAGATTCCACGTCCCTGTCGCTCCTGTGGGCGCATAATGTGTTTCCCTGCTTTGCTTTGGCCGTGCGACATCCCAAATATTTTCAAAAGTCTGATCAATAAGTAATTTCACAGTGTCTTGTTCTGACTTTATTTTCCCCCTCAGACTACTTTTAATTTTAGATTCAATAAAAATGGCTCACATAATAATGTGTATTCTTTTACTTGCTGTACCTAAATGTGATCATTATTAACACTCTCTGAGGGTACTTTCCATTAATAGGCATTACATTGTATTCATTTACATCATCCTGAAGATTACCAAAAGCCACCATTTCTATGAGACCACACCCAATGATGTTTCCGAAGACAAACGCAAGAACCAACGAAAAAGAAAACTAAATAAACATCTGTCTTCAAGGTCATGACTAAGAGCTTCATTTGGTATCTAAATGTGATCTGCAACGTCATTACAGAATTTGTAGCACTTGGTGTTACTCCATCTTTACTAGTCATGGGTAGTATGTATTTGTTTCTTAAATACAGGAAAAAAAAACAAGGGATTTTGAGCTAAATATTCTCTTTTTGGTCAGAACTCCCCTTTATCATTGTGGGCCCTTACAAATATCGATCGTCCGTCACAGATATTTTTGAACTATAATCTTTTTAAAAACAATATTTTTTAAAAAGTAAGTTACACTTTTTGGTACATAGCAAAGGAAAAAATACAAAGAGTAGCATTTTGGTGGTGGTGATTGTAGTTCGAGGAAATAAAAGATATTTTAGTGAGTTTTGTGCCATCTCAAATTCTGACCAATTTTGTTTTCTGCTATTTTCAAATGCGATGCATTTTTAAAACATAAACAAAATGATTCAGCATTAGCTACAGTAATGGACTGTGTGCCTGTCCATGCCATATGTTGTTGAAATACTCAAAATAAATGTGGCCCTCAGAGTGGGCCGTCCGCCATCATTATCTTCAGTGACGCTCCGGGGAAGTAGGCAGCCTGCACTGAGACCACACACTCACATCACACGGCGCTGATAAGAATTCAGCACAGGATACTTGCAGTCTTAACTGGAGCTACATTTCTCCTATTTCTGGCTCCAGGGAAAGCTTAGTGAAAGGGTGATTAAGCAGAGCAAGAAGCAAAGGAAGACACGAACTCCTCTGATGAACCCCTCCATGGTACTTGGTAGGTAATAAACTTGGGTTCCTCTGGATGTGGCTTTACCCTTTCGTGCACAGTTGGGCATGACATAGTTTTCAGGTGATCATTTTATCCAATAAATAACCAGTTATCCAGTGAAAGCCTGGGAAGACAGTTTCCCTGAGGGTACGAAGGACAGTGTGACGAGGGACTGGAGGGACACAGGGCCTTCATCAGAAAAGCATGTTGGAAATTCTATCCTCAAGTCTATCTTCATGAAAAACATACTCTATCGATGTCTTCCTCACACACATTTGAACAGAAATATCATCGCACTTTCTTCTTTTATAGCATTCAACAACAAAAAGATTTTTAACTCTTTATTTCTCTCCTGCGTCAGTACCATGACTGCTAATCCTCAATTTAAGGTCGAAGTACAAGAGCATATATATAGCTACAATTTCACAGATTTGGAAAACAGTGTGTGTGTGTGTGTGTGAGTGTGTCAATCTGCACACAAATTAAGAGAGAGAAAGAGAAAGCCAGGAAGATAAAACAAAAGCAAACATGACAAAATGCTAACTGAGGAGAAATCTGGTTGAAGGTTATACAGAATCCTTTGCACTATTCTGGCAACTTTTCTGTAAGCTTGAAACAACATCAAAAGAAAAAGTTAAAAGAAGAAAACAAAGGTGTACTTCCTAAAATTTCAAGACCCCGTTGAGCTGTCACGCAGGAAGATAAAAGCAGACATATATATTTTCATGAAATTTTAAAAATATGACGAATCCAAGTTCTATAATAGGGGAATTTGTAAATTCTTTTAGATAACAGCTTCCTTTCCAGAACACAGTGGAAATAGGTACATGAATACCAGAATCTGCCACTTTGCACAAATATTTCCTGGTAGCTACTTCTTGGTTCCAGGAAGCGAACCTTTAGGGGCAGAAGGCCACCCTCTGATGCTCGAATCTACAAGATGCACTAGGGATAAGCAGCACTGTAAATCTCTGGCTTTGCAATGAAAACTTGAACATGAATTCCTATACTTTTCTCCTGAAGAACAAAATATATTCCTTTGTCTAGCATCACCTTGTAAAACAAGCTTAGTATCCTAATTAAATTCACATAACAGTAAGTGTGGGAAATATATAACAAGGAAGTCCTCTTCCATTTGCCTCCCCACAGTATTATTGCCAATATGTCCAGGTGTAATTTATGGAGGAGTAACTGGACAATGTGACCTGCACGCTCTCTTGCTTGGTTACCGTGTATTTCAGCTGGATTGATTTTTTTTTAATCTACATCCTAGAAAAGCAGGGATTTTTTTTCTTTTGCTATAATATGTACTTGGATTTGTCATGTAGGAAAGTAGTTATGATTGTGCTGATAACAAAAATCCAGTAAATTAGAAATGGATCCTCAGTGTCTGCATACGTCTAAGAAGACCCCAGTAAAACCATAGAATGGTTCATTAGTATCGACTATCCCATCACACAAACAGGAGTTTCTATGCCATTCACAATCTCATTTATTCATTTAACAAACATCTATTTACCACCTCTTATGGGCCAGAGATTCTTGTAGGCACCAGGAATTTGGTAATAAACAAAACAGAAAAACAAAAAAAAATCCCTGCCTTTTAACGAGCTTACATTTAAATAGATGAAAATAAGAGTAAATAAGCGATTAAATACAATATAGTCCATATAAGATGATTAGCGTGATGGATTAAAAAAATTAGGCAGTGTAAGGGGAAAGCATATGGAACACAAGTGAAGGTTCCTGTTTTAAATGAGTGGCTAGGAAAGTCCTCGTTGACACAGTGACATCTCGCTGTCACTGAAGGAGTAATCCATGAAAGGATTTGGAGAGAGGCTTTCTGGTGCAAAGGGCTTAGCACAGACAGGAATCTGAACAGGGAACACAAAGGAAGCTGCAGACAGAGGAGAGAGCGAAGAGAAGGAGTTGCTGGCATCGCAGAGGCAGAGGGGGGAGTAGATCATACTCCAAGAGCTTCAAGAGCTTTGGGTTTACCTCCGAATGAATGGAAATGCCATGGAAAGGTTTTGAGCAAAGAAGTGACCCTATCTTCGGGGTGCTAAGTTGAATCTAGTTCAAGGTGGATGCAGGTGGAAGGGAGAAGACCATTTGAGAGTCTCTGGTTGCCATGGTAGGCAACACACACTCCATCCCAGTTTCTCCATGTAGGAAATTGAGTGAGTTAGAACTGATGACCTCCCAGGTCATTTCAAGTCTTAGTAGCTCATTAGCCTCTGAGTGCTGTAAAACGGAAGTCTCACAGTGGAAGTCTCAGCCAATCAGAGTGGTCCAGTAAGACAAGCACTGGACTATCTTGTACCTGAAGAGGTCCACCCTTCCTCCACCACCCTCTCTTGACATCCGTATTTGTCTCTGCAGAGGAGGAGCAGGTATAGTGGTCTATTGGTCACCGTCATCATGGAAGACAGGTGGCTCGCGCAACTTGGCTAATTTGAAGGGAATTCATGAACGATGTATGAAATGTAGTATGTCGTGAAATACAATCACACTTTGTGATGAGGTAGTCCCCATTGAACGCTTGCTTTTGCACCCCCTCACTGGCACGGATTTACTGCAGATTCAGAAGTATCTGCAGGGCGGTGAGCGGTCCAAGGCTGGAGGGTCACCGTATATTCCTGATGGGTTTCCCGCGTGAGGCCGACGTCAAGGTTTTGGAGAGGGACTCTAATGTTCAAGCAAGCAGTTAAAACGGCTGTGCTAGTGTACGCCATTTTAGAGGTATTTAAAATATAAGATTAACTGCAGCGTCCTTTTTTGTATTTTGTTGTTGTTGACACTATTACAGATGTCCCCCATTTCCCCCCTTTGCCCCTTCCCACTCGGCCCCTGCTCCCCCTAACCTTCACCGCGTTGTTGTCTGTGTCCATGGGCAACGCATATACGCGCACATATTCTTTGGCTGATTTCTTCCAGTAGCTTTCTTTTTATATATATAATGCTTTTTTATTGTTGTTCAAATACAGTTGTCTCCATTTACCCCCACCACGTACCCCCCTACCCCACCCAGCCCCTCCTCCCACCCTCAAAGCTACCCCCTTTGGCTTTGTCCGTGGGTCCTTTACACGTGTTCCTTGATGGCTCTTCCCCTGTTTCCCCCCACTATCCCTCTCCCCTCTCCCCTCTGGTTACTGTCAGTTTGTTCTTTATTTCTATATCTCTGGTTCTATTTTGCTTGCTTCTTTATTTTGTTGATTAGGTTCCACTTATAGGTGAGATCATATGGTGTTTGTCTCCCCCCACCTGGTGTATTTCACTTAGCATAATGC